ATATATATGCTTTTTAAGCCAGATGGCAGCTAACCATTTCCACTGTGGGTTTCATGATTGAGAATAATGGATGTATAATTTTTGCCACTTGTTTTTATAAAGAAAGTTGGTAACATTCAAAATAAGCAGTGGTGGAGCCAGACATCTTTCACAGAGGTGGTCATTCTCCTCCCGTGCCCTTTTCTGTCGGTTTGATTTTAATTCCAGGTCACGTCGTCATGTGACTTACATTATTTTACATAATTATAAAGTAATATAAACTATGAGAACAGATTGATTAACATCTTACATACATCCAAACACAATAATAAAATCCAAAAGAAACAAATGTTAATGACCACAGAACAGGACATTCAGCTCTTCAGTGATTAGAGTTGGCTATAGTTTCCCATAAAGATTTTTACTCTGCAGGGAGAGTAAGTGTCAACGTTCATCAAATATGGGTGTAGTTTTCTTTATTCTAAAGAACTATGTTGAAGATCGTTTGAAAGGATTTTGGATTCAAACTTGGTTTCAGAGCCAACGAAATGATCAAACAAGGTTCATATTAATCTGAGGTCCCTTCAAATATATAAATATTACTGCTGTCATCTACAAAAATGCAAAGTGTTCTTGTTTGAGTATAATAATACTATTATAACCTTTTAAAGAGTCTGTGTGAGCCGTAAAGACTTCTATAAGGACCAAAAATTTACATATTAGTTGTGTGTTCAAATAAGTTGTTCTGTTCGGTTTTGGTCCAACACTAATGCGCATATCTTTTTCATTGTTAACTATAAAACTGACACAAGTCAGAAACTATCTGCTGTAGAAAAGAGGGAAGCAGTTGCTGTATGAGGGGTGGTAGACTTAGTGGAACCAAGACTACATAAACATGTGGTCAAGTTGTGACTGAATGGTTGTTGTGCTAATGCTAATTTCTAGTTAGCAATAATACCCTGTGGGGGGTTTGAACCTGGGGTTGTGTTAAAGGCTGGGACATTCCCACTAGATAATAAATGATTACACAGTTTATATGTTGTCTCTGAAAGTTGGTCATCAGTCTTCAGGCACGTGTTACTCTCCTTCTGTATTTGTGTAGGTGGTTTACACTAACGTTAACTGCTTTACCTCCACTACCCGTTTGAGCGTAGCCTGGTAAAAACCAGACCCTTGTTCTACGCTGTGCTTACAGAAGGTCTGAACTCTCTGCTAGTGAGAAATGATTGCGTAGGAAGACAATGGTCAGGCTAGTTGGAGCAGTGCTGTTGAACTGAGCATTCTTTGCAAAAATGTTGCTGGCAAAGGCTGTGTCTCAATTCACGGGTTGCAGCCCTTTACGTCATTGCACCGCGCTGTAGGCTGTGTTCACGCAAACATACATCTTCTGTGGACAACCCATTCTCACTCCCGACAGGTCTGCGTCCAGTTTTGYACACACTGGGTACCCCCCTCACATCATTTTAAAACAAGATGAGACGGAGGAGGAGGAGCGCATTGTCATATTTTTAAAAAGAGTGGGAAATGCGGGACAACTAACCATACCAGACCCTAAATTCAACTTCTATTAGCCCCATACATCCTATCCCCGACCTCAGTACCTAAAATTAACCATTAAACCAGATCCCTCGTATTAACCACAGACCCCCAACCCAAAGACCCCTGTGTGATGCACAACCCAGAAAGGCGGCAATGACTGACGCGAGGGGGGTATTCAACGCGTCAAAACTGGACARAGACGGCACCTGACCAAGCGTCAATKTGTTGACGAATCGGGAGTGAAAACATGTTGCTGTAGACTAGACTGTCTCATTTCACAACTGTTTGTGCAGCCGACATGAGCGGCCTACAGCCCACGTCGACTGAGATCTACATTGGCTGCAACCCATGAATTGAGACACAACCATTGTGACAGTTGGGGTGGTCAAAGATTTTTCTATGGGGACAATGGCCACCCCTGGCTCCATCACGACAGGTCAGATTTTTTTTCTGCAGGAATCAGAATTAGCATAAGCACCTGCAATTAGTGTATTTATAATCAACAATGAAATATATTTTACAGCCTAAAGTTAAAGGAAACTTTCAGAAAACACTAAATGATTATTTATGTTTCTCCTGTTCTTCTGTGAGTTCAGTGTGTCCTGATGAGGACACTTCAAGACACAAAAGTTTGCAAATCAACCACTTCGTGATAAATCCGCTGAGTTCTTCCAGTTAAAACAGAAAGAGTTCTGCTAAAGTTGGACTTTTCTTTAAGAGTTTGTCGAAGGCCAGCGGGCCAAATCTAGTCTGTTTCTTTTGACTCACTCGCATATTTTGAAATGTCGCCCTCTTGTTATCTTTTGTCTGCCGCCTCTTTCAGCAAACATTCGTTCTCCTGCAGCACCTTCCTCTCAGGAGAATGGAATGTGCTCAGGGAAACAGATCTGACCACATATGCAATCCAGTTGCAGTCATATGGAAAGGAGCCTTCATGTGCCAAGGAATAATTACATTCAGAGCTGTAATCTGCTGTCTGGGCTTCACATCTAACAAAAGGAACTGAGCAGAAAAAGCACAGCCGTTTATACGTCTTTGCACAATGAAAAAAACAAATTTAGGTTTGTTTATTCTGAGCAAATCTTTGAAACAGAAACAGAACTTTCTCCTGTGAGAAAAAACAGGAAAGGTTTGGGAAAAGGTTTCCTATGAAATCATAAGATAACTTCTGGAACGTGGGCAACAGATCAAGAACAATACTTGAATTTTATACAAAAATTTGCTTTAGAAAACTTAAAATAC